CAGAATGTACGGAGTAGGTCCAACAAAAAAGCACCATAATAAAAAAGTCTACTCCATTTATTTTTAGCACAAAAATCGACTCCACTGCTCACTTACAGGATACAGTATGCAATAAGAGCAACAACAAAGAAAAGTACGTTTTGCTTATCTTATCTTTTTCTGTTGTTGCAGACAGGACTCTCTGAGTAAATAAGCAATAATCTTAAAGTTTTCCTCCTCATCACTTTATTCTTAGACACACTCATCAAAGTAAAGAAGGGCAATTATTTTTCCCCCGTTTTAATGAGGCAACTTTAAAGAACATATAAAAAAATCTTTCATTATTGTCTCTTTCAGTTTTTGTCACAACTGAAATTTAGCATGGACTTGGCAGTTGCACACATGAACTAATACAATTCTCCAAAAATGCCATTCCCATATTTACAATGAAACGAGACTAAACTCACCTGTGCTGTTGGAGGAGGGAGAAGAGTCTTTCACAATCTTGTTTTATTTTATTTTTTTTAAATATTACAACATGTTGCAGCCATACAAATATGATGATATTACAGTACAAATATTGCAGGCAACTGAGTTTCTAACAGAGATACTCTGCTCAATGTGAACATCACTACCCTTCCCAGTTCCAGACTCTCACCTGCTGCGTTCAAGCAACAGCTCAGCCTGACTTTGTGTTGACATTTAGATGAAAGCCAGCTGGAAAAAAGGAAGCATAAAGCATCAAGTTGAACTGGACAGATTTGTCTGCTTTTATTCATAGGTACACTCTTTTTTTAGACATGTAAGAAAATTTTGAGGGTTGCATTGCTGGGGTGAAAGTAACTCTAAAAACAAACGTTGCCCTGCTGTTAAGACATTTGTTTGTAATCATTTGGCTGTGTTCAGGGCTTGCTCCTGGTTGGTAACTTACTCTAAAAAGCGAGAGTGACACCACAGAAATCTAGAGCATACACATCCTATTGAATCAATCCTCTGAAAGGAGTTAGGCAAATTTATAATGCTGGAGATTGTTTCATAATCGGTGCAAAATGTCAACTTGACTGCATCTTTGGTAAGTAGCTGGCTAGTAATTTCTGGTACTTTAAAGTGAGCAGGTGGTTATATGAAGCAAAATCCAGACAAAGGTTTCTATTTAACATGTTACTGGATGAGCAACAACGTAATATTGAAGTCCAGATGTTTGCTTTGGTATCTTCGGTATTGTAGATGCTCAAGAGTAACACAACAAGAGCCATGTGAGTTTTTGCTGCAGCTGCACAGTTTTTACTGCTATGAATGAACATTTGTTTCATATATGATTATTAATCCACGAAGCCAATCTTTGTTGTGTTTCCTTTCTTGAAGCATATCTCATTATAGGACTGCACGATTTGGGCCAAAAATTAAATCCCTCATTTTTTTATCTAAAAACTCGATTTTCAATTTCAATTTTTTATTCAGTAACAACTTCACCAAACTTCACTTTAAAAGTAAAAGTTTTTCTATTATCTCTCAAAACGAAACCACTGAAAATGATGTAGTGCATATGCCAAGCCAGTAAGTGGCGCTTTAATGCTGCCCAGGAAATGCACAAAAGACAGAAGAAGAGTACAGAGCATGCGAATAAAGGTTGTTTTGACATGACACACACTGCCAAAGATTAAATGGTAGTTGTTTATGGATTTATGCGCTCTCGTACTCATTTTCAAAAAGTAGGCATTGACAGTCACCCAAACGGATGTTTCTGTGTGGATGAAACGCCCAATGATGAAACTGTAACATGAATTTGATTCATGTACATATGTCTATAAAGAGCTGTATTTGATTTTGTTGACCTATAACAAGTGTAACTGTCTAGATCATTTAAGGAAATAATTGCATTTACTAGTTTTGTTGTAACAAATTAACAGGTAGTTTAACACCCACAATTCACAGCATTTATCCTGGTTTTAAGTCTTTGTGTCATGAATGGAATATCTTAGTGAAACACTGAAGGTCCAAGGATTTTTCTTCACGCGAGTGTTAGAGTTTGCTCTTGAATACGAAATGAAATGAAATATTATGTTTCAGCCTTGGGAAAAGACTCTACGATAACTTATACAGACCTTGTAGCACAGATTCAAAGTCAGACCAGTGCGCAGTTTTCAATGTTTTATTTGTATGTTCAAGGTTCCTGACATGCCAAGGCTCTGTGATGAATCATAAATAGGACAAAATCAAGTGGGCTAAAGGGAACAAAACCTCCAGACTGAAGTCTACCACTGAATATTTTTATAATCTGGTACCAGATGTCTTAAAATGCCTCTTATACTGAGAAAAAAAAGACATCTTAAAACAGCCTTGCAGCGTACATCTTCTGCAGACACCATAGGTTTTCAAATTCACCCCATACAACAGCAAGGTTCTCCCAGAGAGAAAATCCAAAGTCTCTCTTGACAGGCATGTTCCCATGCATTATCAATGGTTCAGCTGGGCCCTGTGGTGATAAAACATTTTCTACACATGAGAGACAATGTTGGCTGTCTGTTACTTAAGAAATGTAAAAATGTGAGCCATGCTTGTTTGTAACATGGGCAGAATAAATAATGTACAACTGCAGGAGAAAAGGAAACCAATTACAGAGCGAGCCGGGAATGTGAAGAATCCATGCCAATGTGAGATGGGAGTGGACGGAGATCGATAGATGGCGTTTCAATAAATGCAAATATTTACAACCCCAGTCAATATGGTAGGAAGTGGAGAAAGTGAATTCAGGACATGAAGACGAAGACTGACAGAAACTTGGAAAATCCCTGAGAGAAAAAAAGCGAAGAAACAAGGACTGAGTTTGGCAGAAAAAAAGGAACGTATGCATGCACACACACACACGCACTGAGTCCTGCACACAAGAACATCCCGCCGTGATAATGGTGACATTTGCAGGGTGCCAGTAGTTGTGTGTGGCTGGCTGATGGCCCACAGCGATGGCCTTTAGAAGAGTGACAGGCTGAAATTACCATTAAGAGGCAGCAGTATGCCCCTTTATTATACATACGCTATACAGACACACACACACACACACACACACAGACAGACACGGTTCATGGCCATCTATTTCTGCTCTATATGAGTTCAATAGCTTAATAACCTCTGTGCTACAAAGATTTGATTGGTCTCTCCCTGCTCACCTACCTGTCCCTCTCTCATCTGCTCCTGCCTCCATTTTCTGCTCCCAGGAGCCGAGTGCCCTACACCTCCATCAGCACATCCAGTCAACACCTCTTTCTTTCTTTCTTTCTTTCTTTCCTACCTTCCTTCCTTTTCTTCCTTCCTTCGTACCTCTGGTTTTTCACTCCTCACTCTTTATTCCGTTTCTACATCACCACTTCTCTTGATGTCTTGTCGTTCAGCAAAGTTTTCTGTCTTTGAAGTAATTGGATTGAAACACCAAGTAAACATCAAGTCATGCGGCCAAATTGCTTTTCATTCATATCAGCCGATAATCAGTTTTACGCTGATCAAATTGTTTACAGCGTTACATTTTTGTTCTATTTGCCTGCAACATGTCCTCTATCTGCAAGTCAAAAGAGTCCAGTATCAAACACCAAAATACACACTAAACCTCCTAAAAACTATTTTGAATTTGATCAGAGTGAAGTCAGTTACTCTGGGTGTCAACTGCAATTCTTTATAATGTGTGGTATATCATGCTTAAAATTTCTTTAAGCCAATATTTTGAATGCATTTGTTCATGACTGTGGTTGGTGGCTTTGAATCAATGTCTTGTCTCACGCTTTTGTCATTTAAACTGCACCTCACAATATTAGCTACTCAATTAGCTATTTTTCTGTAAAAAGGCAGAAATACAAAGACAGCGCATAACATAAACACAGCAGATTATTATTATTAAAGTATTATTTAAATGGCCAAATTAAAGTTTATTTTTGTCACTTTACTCCTCCAGATTTATTTTTTTTATTTATTTACAACAAACTTGCCTCAAAAGTGTTTTTTCAAACTCAGTTTAAATTATGGCTGCCAAATGATTATCTTTTAAAGATGCAATTGACTGTAGAGTTTTAATGGTTCATAACAGTTCATCACAACTTATATCACGTTTCATCCTGACAGTGGAAAGTAATACTTTATATGGAGACTATAAAATGTACTCAATGATCCTGAGTCTTAGAAATATTCTCCTAGAAAATCTTATATTGCTACACCACTGTGCTCTGAAACCACAACTTACAGAGGTGGCCATCTCCAAGTGTTTATTCCATGAAATTCAATTCATACATGGTTTTATATGAGGATAATGCTGTTATTAATTAAGACATTTCTAGCAGTGCATTTGTAAAAGGTCCGGTCAGTGTGAAGGTCATTATACACCGGGGAATTAGCAAAGTGATGCGAAATAGCGACACAAAAATGCAAAATATTTGGCTTACACCTTTTCCTATACACACCTGGTGCGACACGAATAAAATTCACATATATGCTTAAAAATCCCCCACAGGAGAACAGAAGGGGAGAGAGAAGAAGGAGAAACAATGGCGACTACATCCTTAAGTGATGATGACTTGGTCATGGTTGTAAGCCTATTAAATAAAAAGAAAGTGTCTGGGCACATCCAATACTGACCTTGCGACAGGAGATGGGGAAGTGCCACACAAACATCCAAGAGCTTAAATTGTATCCCGAGAAATTCTGACAATACTTCGGGTACTTGTCCCTCGGACAATTTCAAGAACTGCCCAGACTGATCTGACTGATCCAGAGCAACAGCTTGCCACATGTCTGAAGAAGATTTATATTAGGCTAAAGATTTATGGAGCAGTATAAAGCAATTTTTATTCGCTTTGCAAATTCGCTTAGCTAATTCACCGGTTTGTAACTACCTTTATGGCGTGCAGTTTTCTGGAGTAAATTTGATCCCCCAATGGTGCCGAGTAGCCCTCAGTTAATGTGACAGCATTTGCACTTTTTAGGAGTTTCAGTTTGGTTGGTTGGATTGGCAACTGTTTCACACATGTAAAACTATGTGAAACTATTGTCCCCAGCAATGCTTAGGCATATTACGACATGCAACAACAGTGCTAATTGCCCAACAGCATTACAGTAAAAATCACTGAGTAGAAAAAAAAAAAGGTTTTCCCAGTAATAACACTGACCTTTGCACTAGAGACAGTCTGGCAGGACAGCAACCAGATACACAGGGTGGATAGTCTACATGCTGCAGTATTTACTGGTCTGTAAAGTCAAGGTGTGAGGCTGTGCATGGTCTTAGAGCAAATGTGTGCGTGTGTGTCTAAGGAGGTGTGAGAGGAAGCGCGTAGGTAGGACTTTGTGTGTCTGCATGTCTGTGTTATCAGGCAAGTGCAGACTCTGCTGTCCAGTGGTGTGTGAGATGGGACAGAACCAACGATTTACCACCATGAAACACTGAGCAGAATCACACACACACACACACACACACACAGGAAGAGAAACGGCCACATACAGCTATATTTCCTGCCACAGACACACACTTCCACTCTTATCTTTCACGCCACACACACACACATACACGCACGTACACACGCACACTTACTCATATTTAGCAGCGGTGTTATCAGAGGTCACTATTGGTCTGTATCTCTGCCGGGGGCGAGCACTCAGGCCTGTGTGATGACAGGCATATCTGCAGATGGAAAACTAACCAGCCGACGGGCCAACACTCACACTTACACTGAACACACTCGAACACAACACTTCGCTAATACTGGGTCAGAGCCAAATGACAGATATGTGAAAAACCCTCTTATGGCTCGATCTCTTCAACTGTGAGGTCAAGTTCAGGGTCAGCTGCAGACAGCACCGTGGAGCTGGACTCAGTGTCCAGCCAAAGAATAAAAATGCAAATGATATTCACCAAACTTTAGGTTCACAAGCCTGCTCTGTTTTTTAACCAGTTCCACCCTTCACTGTCGATCCCGCTTCATGCTGCGGCGGCTTCTCTCTAAAGATAATTATTGACTTTACACTTATTATTTAAACTGAGTGCCAGTGTTGCGGCACATCTGCAGACTCCTTTGAGTGTTTTTGTTCAGTATTAATGTGAGAAGCAATGTGAGCCTTTTCATTTTGCATGACGCAAACGCAACATGCTATTAACTATAAATCAGAGAGCTGTAGAGGGAAGACAAGCAAGAACAGTCTGAAAGATACTCATGCACACTGACAAATGAGTCAAACAAAAACAAGGCCAGAAAACACTACCATGCTGCTACCGTCTCAAGTCATTTTCACATGTGTCGGTGCATGTGAGGCATGGGCAGAATCAAAGAATGGACATAGCTGGGTGTTGCCTGCATGTAAAATGCAACAAAGTCAGTCATGTACCTCAAAGCTGAGTTTTACATAAAAAATCTGCACACTCATTTTAAGACAATGATTATCAAACCAAAACTAACACCTCACTTTCCTCTTCTCAAGGTGAAATAACAATTTTGTTCCTGATCCAAGGTCAGTCTTTGTCTTAAACTTGAGGTTAAAACTCCTAAAACTCCTTTTAGATCAGATGATTTCATCATGGCTCCTGCTCCTGTCATAAAAAAGTGAAGCCCAAATATCCCTGTAACATCTTTCTCTCAACTCAACTCAACTCAACTTTATTTGTTAAGCACTTTAAAACAACCACAGCTGTACAAAGTGCTGTACATAACTACACAAAAAAACAAGATAAAAAACAATCAAAAAACAATTAAAACAATGGATAAAATAAAAGCAGAATTAAAAGTATTGTTTCAATGCTTTTAAAAACTAATTTAAAAACACAGAAACAAATAACTAAAAACAAACCATAAAACACTAAAACAGGAGCCGAGTCTCATGGAGGGTTAAAAGCCAATGAATAAAAATGGGTTTTAAGACGAGTTTTAAAAATGGACAGTGTGGGGGCTTCTCTAATTTGGAGGGGTAGCTCGTTCCATACTGTAAGACGGGATGGTGGGGCCTCAGTATTGACGTCATGCAGCCCTTTCTGCTGACCACAACATACCCTTCAAATAAATTAGATGGCGACGCTCTTTTAAATCATATTGTCTAAAACATCACAGATTACTGAACTGTTTTCAAGCAGACACTCATGGTTGTAGGAAGTACAATTGCTCTCCTATAGTTAGACTACTACTATCATGGCCTGCATTGTGGTTATCATGGCATTATACCCCATTTTGCCTCTTTTAACTCACAATGTACCTTCTGGAAAAAGGGCAGGAATCTGTCGGTATGTCCTGATTCAACTTGGATCTGATTCTTGAAGGCAACAAATGGATCAATTCATAATCCGTTCTTTATTTAAACCGATACGTAACTCCCTTTTTTCTACATTGAGGATTATTTCTGGATTTATGTCAGTCTGCTGTGATTATTTTTCATAAGACATTAAAGGGAAATGTCAAATAAGGTTATCAGTTATTTGAGAAATATCTGTCAAAACAAAGTTTGTAAGTTTTGAGCTGAAACTGAACAAATGAGCAGCAGAGTTTTTAAACGGGAACACATAAAATCCCCTTTTCCCCAAAACTTTCTAATGACAGACTCTTGGCAACCTGGGGGTTTTGTTTATTTGGGTACGTTGCCAAAAATATGAGCAAGAACCTGCTGCACAGATCAAGTCTGAATATTATTCAAATACGCTCCCCAATCTCAAGTGACTTTTTTTTTGCTCAAGCATAAAGCGTACACTTTCTAGACAAATGTGCAACAACGCATTAGTGTTTCTATCGCAAAAAAAACCCCAAGTTCAGATCACACAGACTGCTCCTCCAGGCAACAGCTCACCTTTGTTGTGTGTTCAGCATCTAAATGATGTATTGTAGATATATGCAATTAAAAAACCTAATGATCCATCACCAGACTTTATCAATGCCCCAGTACACAGAGTCATATATAAATAAACTCACACACTTAATTGAGAGATAACAAGATTTCTCAAAATAAACAACTGATTAGCAGAAGAGTCGTGAAAGTAGAAATTACACCAAAATATCAGGCTGTAAAAAAATCTATTAAGGTCTCCAGAGAAACTTCCCGCCTGCTGATATTTGTTTTGTTCCGTTTGCTCTGTTTTTATTGTCGAACTACCCGAGGCCAAACCATCACAAGTGTCTAGCTGGGGGGAGCCGAGGGTGGCGGTGGTGGTGGGTTGGGTGGTTGGGGAAGGGGGTGAGGGTGGGGGGAGTTGGGGAAGCAGCCAAGTTGAGGAAACACTCTGCTGCTGCTGCTGCTGCTCTGCTGCTGTTGCCTACCCAGATTTACATTCAGGAGCCTTTTTCTGATTCCTCTATACCCAGAATTCAGTCTCTCTCTCTCTCTCTCTCTATCTCTCTCTCTCTCTCTGTCTTTCCCTCTCTCTCTCTCTCTCTCTGTCTCTCTCTCTCTCTAGCTCCCTTCATTATCACTGTCCACTCCACAAGAGAGTAAAGGCAGAGGAGCAGGCGGTGGGGGAGGCGGAGGGTTAAGAGTGAGGGAAGTGGAGAGAAGGAAAAGGTGAGAGACATACAGAGGGGGAAGAGAGGAAGAGAGAGAGGGAGAGCGATGGAAAGAGGGAGAGAGGGCGAGTGAGAGTGAGGGAGGATGGAGAGAGTGACAGATAAAGGGGGGTGGGGAGGTGGGGGTTACAGAGAGCTGCAGCTATCTGCTGAAATATTCATGTTGGTGCCAGCAGCTTTTCCATTCCCCGCTCAGCAGGGGGCTGCTGTTTGATACATCTCTCTCTCTCTCCCTCTTTGCTCGCCCCCTCTCCTCTCTCTTAACTAGTAAGGTTCGTAAATGCTCATTGAGCTTTAGAGGGCCAATCTCTCCTCAAATCAGGATGAAACTGCACTGGCTCAGCTTTTTGAGATGATATTACAATAAAAACCATCTTTGGGAAATCAAAACTTCTTCACATGTTTAACGTCATTTGAATTGAATGTTTAAGAGAACAACCAACACGTAGACCCGAGGATGAAGGATTTAGACATCATATCCTTTCAGTGATTTCACAGTGAAACACTGTAGGCAGTCAATTAGCAGGACTGTTAGGTTCAATATAAACTGAATCTCACAGTCAGAATCCAAATACAAAAAGAGACAATATAAACAATAAGAGGTAAACAAAGGAAGATTTGAAATTCATACAATGCAACAGAAAGACAATATTCCAAACCTAAATATCAGAACAACTTCCCATTCTAAAATCACTTAAGCCCACCTAAACACTTAAAAGTACAGTCTGTATAAATGGCTATATTTAGCGATATCTAACAGGCAGATTCCGATTAAATGCCTGGGCCTTTGAGTGCAGTAAGCTTTGGTGGTAGATCATAAGTATCATCCTTCATTTGTCATATTTTTCCCATCAAAGACATCCATAAAAACACTCTCTCTTGTCTTTCAATCAGTGTGTTTTTCAATAATTCAATAATGCATTTAACACTGGTTTGTCAGTTCTGTGCCACAGTAGAAACATGGCAGCCTCTGTGGACGGGGACCCACTCCTGTGTGGACGTTAAAGTTTGAAATCAAAAATATGTTTTTTAGATTTAAATGTTTATACTATAAGACAAACTTATGGTTATATTTCTACCAACTCTGATATGTTAAAGGAAGCTGAATAATAATACTGCACCTTTAAAAATGTTCTGCATGAAATGTCTTAAACTTAATAAAATATCTATGTACACATTAGAAAAGATCAATACTACGCATAAAGAAAAAGACAAATGCCTCAATAAGACAATCTCATCTTCAGACACTTCATCAGCAAATAAATATAACCTGTATAAAGTCAGGATTTTTACATTATTCTCTATTTCAAATGTGGTGATATCGCTCATTTGGTATTTATTCAGTAAGCAGGAACTAAACATCCATGTTTTATTGGATCCACAAATCCACACTTTTGGGTCTTTTACTAATCATTCAGATAAGATTAGATAAGATAAAGTTCAATTCATTATGGCACACTCTGATATAGAATTATATCTGCCATTGTGAGGTACTTGTCACCCCAACTATTAGCTGCAGTAACCTCACAGAGAGAAAAGAAGAATAAATGAATCTGAAGGAATCATAAGGTCACCCTTAAAAATATTCACCTTTCCACAAACCAAAACTTGAAGATTACAATATTCTGATACTCTAAACTTATTTTAGTCGACATAACCATGAAAACATTAGAGTTAAAGGTTAGTGCAGTTTTTCATTTTCTCAGTGTTGTCCTTTTTAGCGGTCTGCATTTTGCATCACTTGACTTACCTATAACCACTTAAACCTTAATTCAACTTTTACATTATCAACAACCCATTATTACAAGATAATGGGTATGGTAGAAAACCGTGGCGTTTTTGTGCCGCTGTGTTTTTTTGTTTGTTTGTTTTTTACATCCCAAACAGGAATTTATTAATGTTATTTAAAAAAATAAAAAAATAAAACACTCAGAGGGCACTCTTTAATATGAGGTAAAAAAGGCAGGGGCTCAAGCACTCCTCGGGCCCTATGAGTGCACGTGTATGATCAAATCACAGTTGGATCCACTTGTTGAAGAATATCTCTAAAGCCCGTGGTTAAGGGCAACAGTAATCAAATGACAACAGGAAAGGAGGATTAAGTAGCTTTTTCACGGTTTGTTATGAACAGGATCTATTTTTGAGGTGTAAAACAGAACTTTATAAAGCAAATAACACACAATGAAAATGAAGTTTAAGGTGAGAGAAGAGGAGGAAGAGTAGGGAAGGATAAAATGCAAGGCAGAGTGACTCAAACAGATTTGAAGAGTAACTTTAACTTTGCTGATATTTGTTGTCTGACAGACCTCACACTGATGTACGTTATTGTGACAAAATAAACCTTTTCACCAAATTCATCCAATCTGACTACAAACTGAAGCAGTGTGTCACTTCACCTCATCCAAGAGGCCTTTTCACTTGGCCAAGAAAAACAGAGTGAGGAAAACTCAGCAGCTGCAGCCTCAGAGGGTTAGGTTTGTGCCTCACAGCAAAGAACCGCAGCATCTTATTTAGACCTGATGTCAGTCAGGCCCTGTGGTTAAACAGGGAGGGACTGCCTGGATGGTGGCAGCGTATACAGTATGTGTGTTGTATGTGCGTTATATGTGTGTGTATATGCGGTTGCACTAAGCCAGCACATGTGTTGGGGGATGTGTGGCAGATGTTGCAGAGGGAAGGATTAGTGTGTGTGTGTCTTTAAGTGTGTACATTAAAAATATCTTTTCCACAGCAGGAAACCACAGAGGCCAATTACAGTGCAGCATCTGCTCGCACACATTTATTAGAGTGTGTGTGTGTGTGTGTGTGTGTGTGTGTGTGTGTGTGTGTGTGTGTGTGTGTGTGTGTGTGTGTGTGTGTGTGTGTAAGAGGGGATGAGGAGGTTCAGGCGGAGTTCAGGTTATTTACATCTTTGCATTTAGAGTTTCTCTGGATATGGTGCAGTGTGTGTGTGTGTGTGTGTGTGTGTGTGTGTGTGTGTGTGTGTGTGTGTGTGTGTGTGTGTGTGTGTGTGTGTGTGTTAGAGAGAATTAGAGCCAAAGAAAGAAGAATAAATACAGTACAGAAATGGAGACAATGGTGAGAGTAGAATAGACATTTTGAGGATAGGAGGAAGAGGAGAGGAAAGAAATGAAAGCTTGTCGTTTCCAGCAGAAATCTAATGCATTGCTGTTTTTTTGTTTTTTTGTTTTTTTTTTCCAACATAGTGGAAAAAGCAAAACCTCAGTAACAAAAGCTACATCTGCATCCTTTGAATTTGTCACATAATGTCTGCAGGAGTTTGTTGAAAACTAATTAAATCCATTTTATTGTTTCTTTTTTTAACCAGATCCCTCTGAGATAACAATCACTTGGCTTCACTTTAATTGTGTTTAAATGAACTGGAGACGCAGAAGAAAAAAATACCACTTTATAAAATCTGTGACCAGATATTGCCATGAATGTGATTTCCTACAAATAGATTAAAAGAAATATTTGTTTTTATTATTTGCTAGGAGCACAATAACAATAAGACTGAATAGCTGAGTCTATGTGTGACCCCTTACTCGTGTATGTGGCCACTTAGATATAGATACACAGTAAAGCAAAAGGCTATGTGCATTGATAAGGAGAGCAAGTAATGGTTGAATGAATAAAGCACTGCTAGACAGGTTGTCTATAAGTGAAACAGATGGTTCAAAGTTAATACACGTGAAAATATTCATCATCTATTCAACTAGGAGGCTGATATAAGGTATTTAGCCAGTTATCTGTATCAGTATTTATCTTAAGAATCATTCACAAAATTAATCAGTAAAAGTGAGCAGCAGATGTGTTTTTCTCTCATTTGTTGTCACTTACCTAATGACCTGCCACCAACCACACCACGCCTTAAAGCTCCTGTGAGCGACTTTTGGTTTGTGTCAGTTTTGCCCTCCTCCTAGTGGACAAAGCAGTTTTAACTTAGCTTGTCTTCTGGATGCTGAGTGACAAAAACACTCTAATCCTGCAGCTACCCTCTGACAGTCAGATGAACCATTTATTGTCAGTATTTTGTATGTAGACTGTAAACGGTAAAACTCTCTCAGTGGTCTCTTCATTAAAAATTAGGGTGTAAAATTAATCAACCCTGTCGCTCATTATTGCTTTAGGATATAATGGAGAGGCATCAATATGAATTTTAGTTTATCTCATTAAACCAAAACATTCCCCATTGGAGCTTTAAACCAAAAATATGAGCACTTGGACTTCTGCTTATACGAACATGAAATGTAAAAGGTGTACAGTCTTCAGAGAAATACTGTTGTACCCACTCATCTATAGTAACCTGTTCATGTTTGAATAGAAAGTCCAAGTTCAACATTTGGCAAAAGATCTTGATTTATAATTCAAAAATATCTGTGTTTCAAATATCAGCTCATGATCAGTATAAGGACCAGCACTCCTAATATATAGGTAGATATATATAACTCTGTTAGTTAACATATTGAGATCAGGGGGCATGAAATAGTGAAAACAAAATCCAAGATTTATTGCATGTATACAATATACAGTATTTCTTCACACTCTGAGGACTGAGCATTGTGTTCATCAGTACTGAATGTAATTACATAGTTCTCTTTTTGGTACACAGTTGGAAAATGACAGTTCTTCTTTACCCATGCATTATAAATACTATATCTGATTCAGTAGTTTTGTTTTGGCTGGTGCTCCAAATCTCACTCTGAAGTCCTGATCATAACATTTACTTCATGTTTGCTGCTGCATGGAAGATTGTATAAGTATAAAGCAGAAGTTGGATTAACAATCAAGGGATAAACTCTGTTGTTGTAAATAGTGGATAGGCCAAGCGAAATCCTTTAACATCTTCATGTCAATGTCAGCTTTATGTATATAGCGCATTTAAAACAGCCAGTGGCCTACCAAAGTGCTTTATCGTAAAATAGGCAGAACAATAAAAAAAACTATAAAAGCTATAAAAACAAGAAAGGCGTAATACATACGTATAAAAACATAAAACAACAATATAGGTAAACATACCAAATAAAAGACCCAATAAAAGTAACTATACTACACCAAAGGCTAAAGAGAACAGGTGCGTCTTTGGAGTGGAGAGGCTATTCGCAGTGCTCACTGTCAGGGGTAGCCACAACAGAAAAAGCTTGATCCCCCCTAGAATTTAAAAAGGATCAAGGAATGCCTAAAACCACCTGATTAGCTGACCTGGAGGGCTGACGCAATTTAATAAGGTCAGACGGGTATCCCGGGGCCAGTCCATTCAGAGACTTAAAAACATGAATGTGAAAATACAATCTATAACACAGAGCATAGTGTATATAGCGGTCACACAAAACAAGGAAATAACTATTAATCACCTGTGTGCTTTGATGCCTTTGTGGTGTTTCTGGGAATTAAAGGAGAATCCTAGTTTTAATTGAGCTGCTGAGACTATAAAGCATTTGAATTACTTTGTAGAATCAAAGTCAGCGGCTACTACAAGAGGCACTGATGGGTAGAAATCCTGCAGTGTTGCTACTAATAATGATTAGGGTTATGTGAGAGCTCGCTACATCCACCATCAGATCAATAATACATGTATGATACAATTCGTCTATATGAGCATCAATTGTGAGAGGATCTTGTGTTATTAAAACTTTAATCTAAGGAAGTATCAAAAGTGTAAAGCTGTTGTGCAAAACTCTCGAGTAAATGTGAAAATTTAACTTTCATAAGGCATGAACTCTGCTGTTTAACCTGTAGCTCATGTCACAAAAAGTTACAAAGATGATGGCATGAGATGATTAGTGATGAAATAATAAGGGTCCTGTAGCCCACAAGTGAGCATGGCAGGATGAAAAGGAAAGAGAAAGATGAAGTAGAAGAAGACGGTGGTGTTTGCAATGAGCACAAAAGCTCTCCAATAACTTTAGAGCCACTCCAATCGACCATGTCATCAATCAGAGTGTTTTTCCTGTGTGCGCAGCTGAGGAAAGGCTCCGCTCTAATGTGAGCACATCGACAAGTGGCCTCCATTATTCATACAGTCAGGACCAATACTGTGCTGGCAGCAGATTTGTGGAGCAGACATCGTTAAAAAGCTGGCTGGAGGATGTTACTTAGGATTAGCAGGACTCTAAGTGCTTTTAACTGGACGCCCTTAAACAGAGTGATGAGTTTTTCCCAATCATTCATTCATTATGAGGAGAAAAAGACAAAAACCATTCAAGTATTCAGGATGGAAATCCTCTCTGCTGTCTTTGCACTCTTCACAGGAGCATGTCTAACAGACTGCCTTCAAATGTTACTGTCACTGATCTTTCAAACATATCATAAAAAGAGAAATTATTCACTTTTGAATCAAGTTTATAACCACAGACCTGTAAATAGTAGTTTAATGTCGTTGTCACATATGTTGACGCAGTTGCCCTGGTTAATATGCATATCTACTCTGTCTCTGGGATCTCTGTCCAGTATGTTTACATATAAACCAGCCCATGAATCTGAGTCTGTTTCTCTATGGAATCAGAAGTAACATAACATAAAAAAGATAAATAATAAAAACCACTGATCATTTATGCTAATATATTCTACCTTAAAGGGATATCCCGACATAAATTTAAGTTATGGTCAGACACACTGTAACACTGAGTTGACCACCCTTGAGAGAAAGACCGCACAATAGACACACAGAGGTCTACACTGTTTGTGGTGGGAGCCCTGATAAGTCGATCACCGAGTGCAGCGGATCTTGCAGACGTGGTAGTTCTTCTGCCTTAGTGTCTCGGTCTGATTGCATCTCCATGGAGTAATAATCATAAATGTTCTTCCTTGAGCTGCGAAACTCCGCTGCATTCGGTGATCGACCTGTCAGGGCTCCCCCACAAACAAGCGGCTGCTAGAGGAGAGTGAGTGAGTTGTGTTTGGTCTCTTTGCTTAAGAAACCAGGCAAAGCTAAAAAGATGTTTGACGGCTGGTGTTGCGGCTGGGACCCTATATGTACTGTTGATGAAGTTAGGTGCTGTTCTGAGCATTATTTGTGGCTATAGAGTGGCGTTTTGGTTCAGGTTTGCGCGTGGAGACGTAGGCCACTGTGTATTGCTATCCTGTGGTCGTTAAAGTTAGGGTTAGGGGTGTCTAACTTGGTGTTACGGTGTGTTTGACCCTAACCTAAATTTATGCCGGAATATCCCTTTAATACACAAATTGAAATTGATCAGGATCAGAAACATACATGCTCTTCTGTGTCAAGCAATAAAAAAACACGTATCTTTGATTTCATTATGCAAAGTGTGACAAAAGAAACTCAGAAATGGGTAAAAACTAAAACTTCAAGGAGGTGGTCATGTTCAATTTGTGTAGAAATAATTAAGAACTAGCTCTGACATTAATAAATGACACTGAGACTGTGTTTCCATTTTTAATTAATTGAATGAAAGTGAAATGACCCTCGTCTGGCTGTGGTAATTAGCTGTTAAACAGCTCAAATATAAAATCTATTGGCCTCAAACAAAGGCTGATGTCTCTGGGTACATGCTTTCTTCCTTACTTTCAGAAATGTCTTGTTAAAGTTTCTTTTTCTTGTTGACTGTAGTTTGTATACTATCCACCAACTCACATTAGAAGCTGGTCTAAAGGTCCAGTCAGTGGGAATGAGGGTTACTGGGAGTAAAGACTGGTGCTTTAGTGCTGTAACGATCAGAATGGGATCAGCAAACATCGATTCGTCAATGCATGTTTAACATCCTGTGAAAAGTGAGCAACCCTGACCAAAGCAACACTTCTCGAAGCATCTTAACGTGAAGTTTGTTTGTTTGCATTTGTTGATAGACGTGAGAGGAAACAAACTTTCTGCCTTCACTGCCATTTTATTTGCAATAAAACAGTTTATGTCATAGTTTTTTCAGTCCCTTTTGTCCAGTCTGAGCCTCTGCAGGTAACTGCTGCCAGATTTGAAAAACATGATCCTTTAAATGTAATCAAATCAAAAGAAAATGAAATTCACTTTTGTAGCTGAAAGGTTAATTGTAATTTAATATTGCATGGTACACTTTAATTTTCACTGTTCCCGGTCTCACTCTCTCCTATTTGAAAATAATAAAATAAAATCCCACTCTCAATACAGCAATGCAACATTAGACCTGTCCACAGCAGTAGCAGCAGCAGAAATAAACAGTTAGTCTTCAAACTCTATAATTAATGTGATAGATCCCAATGCGTGCTTGTTTCTTTGGTAATCATGTCAGGTTTTTAATGTATCAACCATGTTACTGTGAAGAAGAACTGTAAGTTAAAGGGATCAACTGTGATAGACGACACAGGACCCGCCCAACTTCTCAAACTTAGTCCACCTTTCCCCCTCTTTTCCCCTGCACAGCCTCCAAAGTGAGGCTCACTTTTATCCATGTGGAACTACTGCCCCCCAGTGGTCAGAAGTAGTTCTGTAGCAGGAGACATTTTAGACTGACTGTACTGGGATTGAACACAGTCAAAATCTTTCTGTCACATACTGTGCAAAAATCAGATTAAGTTGTAATTAAAATATTCATCCGGGGGTCACTTTCTACTTAAAAATTAGTTTGTTTTTTTTTATTTCTGTTTCTATTGACTATCAGTTAATGTGCGGAGCTCGACACTAGAGGGCTGTAGTCAGTCATCTGATTACTGTGTACGTGTGCCCAACTTAAGGGTTATAGTTAATACATCTCATCAAAGTCCCAACTGTTCTTCAAGACACACTATATATCAAGTTTCAATTATTTTTCTCAAACCATTGAACTGTAACCTCAAACTTAGACATGATAAATCCCAGTCTGTATTTGTAGGCCTTAGTTTTGTGTCATGGGTAAACAATTATAAATAGAAAAACAGGTTTAAGTAGGATGCATTTTCGTTTGATGACGTCCTCAAAATAAGGGCACGGGCCATTACTGCTGTGATTATTTCAATCAGGAGAGAACAGTTAATGGATTAGAGATTAATATTCATTATACAGAGATTATGTGATAAGATGATAAGTAATTTTGTATTGTCAGAGTGTTTTAGCGCTTGTGCCAGGGAGACAGATTTAATCAAAGAATGACTATCCTGAGCAGCAAAATCCTGTGTCCTTAGTGTTCAGCAGGGTCTGATCCCCTGTGGGGTCCAGACACTGGTGGTGTTGTCTGAGGTAGATAAAGAAACCGCAAAACTTGCTGGAATAGCAGAAACAGTGTGAATGATTAGCAGGGGGAGTACATCATATTAAAAATGATAGCAGTGATACACTTTTCTGTCTCCCATAGGCGGGATTTGTGTCAAACTCAAGTGCTGCACGTGCTCAGCTGCCTCCACATAGTACCAATAATTAAAGAAATAAAGAAAACAGTATTAAAAAACAACAATAAGCCCCAAAGACACAACACTCTGTGTTTGCCAAAGAACAGACTGTCAATAAACTGACTGGCGGGAAGTTTTCAGTCCTCTCTGTAATGTTTACGTCAGTCTGAACTAAACAGGCAAGAGTGGTTAGAAAAGGGCCGAGCAGAGAGATGACCCTCTCAAACCTGATTGTGCTCTTCAACACAGCCTGGTTAAACAAAAATGTGATCTTGTGATCCCTCGTAGACTATGAGTTGCCTTATAAAATACAGTCTTTTAGGTTAAAGAAAATTTCAGCATGATCTGTCCACCTTGAAAAGGTTTAAAGTGAGGGTTCAACACTATCTCATTAGTTTTCTTTATGTATAAAACCAGGGAGTTGGCATCACACTGTTGGGCAAAACTGTGTATAAATTAGTGAACTACGACCAAAAACCTGTGTCCTCTGTGTTCATTGACAGTGCCATCTGAAAGTTTATATAAAGTTAAATATGGTTACATATTTATATAAATATGGAGGAGTGAATCCAGCAGAGAAATAACACACCAACATGCAGAAAAGTCTTCCTGACTGAACTTTTGCTAAAGCTCCATGTAACCTACCTTTTAGCTAAGTTAAAATCTAATCCAGTATACTCACATTACCACTGAAACCTCCTTTTATTTATCTATCATCTCAATTCAATTCAAATCACCGGATTTGTCCTCAAGGGGCAATTTTAAAAGACATGACAGCAAATTTAAGGGACATACAAACAAACCACACGATTGGACATGACAGTAAAAAACAGACAATCAGCATTTTTCTTTCATTATAGTGTCACATTGTTCAGCATTGAAACATCCACAGATACACCAGAAAAGAAGAACTTCATGGTGGTGTTATTTCACTTGTGCAAAACTGCCTCTTTGGAAACTTGTTACATTTTTCTCTAAAAACAATGATACCAGACCTCAGACCAAAAGGATTCAAAAAAGGTGATCTGTCTCCTCATCTCACCCAGCAGCATGAAGTATGAGTCTCATCAGTGAAAGCTGTCTGTTTATCCTGAGGTGAACTGCATACGACAAGACTCCTCCTTTTGGCTGTTTGTGTGTGAACCCATGATGAGTCTGACGTATGTGTTTCCCCCTTTTTTACAGTCACCGCTCCAACAGTTCATAGTAGAATCATACCTCCTGCATAGTTTTGTGGCTTTGTTGCATAATCACAGCACTTAAGAAACAACATCAAACAGGACTTAAGAAACAAGTTAATACATAACTGCTTTCATATTTTAATATTAAGGTCCAAAGATCCAAAAATGGTTATAAATAAAAGTAAGAAAAGGAGATGGGATGCAACTCAAGTGCCACAATTGTTAATGTGTGAGCAGAAATACTGTGCTTATCGGACGGGGGAAGGTTGGGGTGGGGGATCCTTGATGAAGTCAGGGACAGGAACAGAACTTCCTCTGCAGCCGAAACAATCTGACTGGAAACACTCAGCCTATCACCAAGAGTGCACCATGGAGAGAGCCGCTGCGGCAACAGGCCGCAGGACCCCCACAGCACCTGAATGCAACATCTCCACCTCGACTTTGGCTTTTGATCAACACTTCACCACCACGGCCAAAGGAACACTCCACCTGGCAGAGATCGTAAGTGTGAACATGTTTATTTAAGATTTGTAGTGTTGGAGGTACGGCTCATTAGTAAATGTTCACCGCACAGACACAGATGTCTGAGTAATGTAAACACACAGTATGTCCTGATGTAGACACACCACAAGGTGACTCGATCTGAACACCGACTTTCTCCTGTGGCTGATTCAAACTTTATTAGACTATGCTTAAATAATAACTATAGCTTTCTGTGAAATGCATCAGAAATTTGTGAGAGTAAGAAAAGTGCATACAGATCTTGCTGGTCTCCCTCAAACTCTAAAGCTTTAGAAATACTAGTGAGAGTCATAAGAAAAGCAGAAAAAATGATAATGATTTTTTTTTTTGACTTTTTCTATGAAAATAGGAAGTTAACCCCAAACACGCCAAGAAAATAAATTCCTCCTCTTTCTCAGCCTCATTGTGTCTCTTCCTTTCTGAATCAGCTGAGGGGAAAGTCAGGACAGCCTGTCTGTAAATACAGTCTGGCTGACTGCCATGTAGAGATGGCAGGGGGTGGAGGACCCTGATTGAAACAAATCCAACAGTTTTAAAACATCTAAATCATAATAAAGACCAACTAATCCACCTGCTTTGTTCCTCAGTTTTGTCAAAGAAGTCGTGGAATCGCCCTTTACTGACCCGATTTGATTATCAGTAAAAACAGTCCTTTGGAAAACAATGTCAAAGATGGTGTGTTAAATAACATAAAAAATATTTGCTTGAGGTGATTTGATGTGAAACATCCCACAAAAATCTGTGACTGTGAACCAGGAAGAGTGGGTGTGAGTTTGCAGGAAGGAGAATGAGTTACAGACCACAAAACTTTGATGCAGAGAAGATGTGGGTTTGGGGAATGTGAAAACTATTCCTGAAATAACAAACATTAAAAGATAAAGTGAAGTGAACAGTGACATTTATCATCATTGTTCTCTGTAAATCAGCGGTCTAAATACTTCCTCTCTTCTCCTCTCCTCTCCTCTCCATCAGGTGTTTGGCATGTTGGTGTGGATTCTGGTGGGGGGTACAGACTATTTTGGTCGGTCTGCTCTTTGCTGGGTGATGTTCGTTGCAGTCTCGTTCTGGGTTCTGGCTGTTTGTCTGTTTGTAATTTATCTCACTGGAGTCCATCACAGGATACCGCAGGTCCCCTGGACCACACTGGTAACACACCTTTACAAATTTTGGCAAAACACACTGACAAAAAGAAAAAAACATAATACTGCGGTGACTTTGTGTTTGTGCATGGTAGTATGAATTTATTGTTTTATGATTGTTTGTAATTCTCTCTCTCCCTGTCTCTTTCTCTCTCTTCTAGTCTCTGTATTTGGACTGCTGTGCTACAGCTCTGTATCTGGTTGCAGCAGTGGTGGATGCTCTCTCAGTCAAGCAGGCCATTGTGGGGCGACATAACTACAACTGCTGGGCAGCATCTGCAGTAAGAGTGCCACAAGATCTTTTTGTCACCATTTATTAAATTCAAATTCAACTTTATTTATATGGCACTTTTCATACAAAAGACAATGCAATTCAAAGTACCTCACAGAGGCTAAAAACAACAATAATGACAAAAACTCAACCCTTCCACCCACACACACACCCATGGACCCACACCCACACAAAGACACACACCCACACATACACACACACACACACACACACACACACAAAACCGCACACAGTGTGAGCATTTAAGATATATTGTAAGAGAGACATGGCCTGACACCGAGACATTACATGAGGAAAGATCTACCTTTGGGAAACACTGGAGATAAAAATAGAGATAAAAATGCTTAAAAGAGTAAAACCTGATGGACTAAAAAAGAAAATAAAAATATTAAATCAACAAATAAGTAAAAGCTCTTTACCATATAAAAAGGGGGTAAAAGAAGTAAAAACCTGTGAAGGGAAATTAAGAAAAAGACTAAGAACAGAGATAATTAATAGAATGACATCGAATATACATAAACATAAAATAGACAGGTCGCAGTCTATTTTCTCCCCTGGAGGTGTGGGTTTGAATCCCACTTCTGACAGAGCACTTCCTCAGACGAGGTGGCCGAGTGGTTAAGGCGATGGACTGCTAATCCATTGTGCTCTGCACGCGTGGGTTCGAATCCCATCCTCGTCGGTATCCATAGAGAATTTCCCAGTTTGGGATCAATAAATTATATCTATCTGTGGACATTTGCAATATAAGAAAAATGGCAATTAGCAAAAAGCCTGGTTAAAAAAATGAGTCTTCAGCATCTTGAGCACAGTCTCTGCGGCCCTGAGGCTCTCTGGCAATAATGAAAAAAAAAAAACACAGTAAACCTTACTACAACAAATGTACTCCCTTTTGAATTTCTACATCATCTCTACATCAAAAAAAAAAAAAAAATAAATAATCCATATCATCAAACCAGAGTATCCACTTGTTCCAAGTACAGATTTGATGCTAATGCTGTTTTTTTTACTGCACCATGAGAGCAGGGATTGCTGTGGGTCTTAAAGTCTGTGGTATGTTTTAATAGAAAAAAATAAAAAGACTGCACAATTTTGTGATATTTCCAAAGAGAGAGTTACACTTTACAGTTAGGGACACACAATTTTGGTGTGGGAAAGAATGGAGGAGTAACCCACCTGTGGGTTTGAGTACTATCTTTACAGTCCCTCACAAAGCGCTGATTTAAGGGTGATGATGTGACGCAACAGGCTTAACGGTCCCAAACAAGATGATGGATCGTTCATAACACGATTATTTTCAGTCTTAAACCTAAATAACACTGACCTTTCCAGCAAATACTCACAAACCATCAGGGGGCTGGTTTAGCTCAGCCTGTGGACAGGGGTAAATCCCATTCCAGGTCTTTACTGGATTTGGCGTGTGTCATCATCTGCTCTTTCCCCCGTCCTTCCCGTCTCTCTCAAGCTGTTCTTTCAAAAAAGGCTAAGAGGCCCCTTAGAAAAACTCTTCGTAATAAAAAACACCGCTTGACTCAGTGGTTACTGAGTCTTACATCCTTGTTGCACTTGTCATATCATTAATTCCTGGTCCAGTCATGAATGTGTGTGTGTCATTTCCTAACACTCCCCGTGTTTATGTTTCCGGTCTTTCTTGAGCTCTTATCTAATAAAGGCAGGGCAAAAGCTTGACAATGATCTCTAACAATCCTTGTACTGTTGTTTTTGAATCAATCTTACTGAATACTTTTTCAACTGTAAATGTCACCGGTAGTTTCAGTCTTCATTTTGTCTCTTAAAGGGATATTCCAGTGTAAATTTAAGTTATGGTCAAACACACCGTAACACCGAGTTAGACACCTATACCAATTTTAATAACGTCTGCATAATATCAATACACAGCGGTCTATGTCTCCACGCACAAACCTCAACCAAAAAGCCACTCTGTAGCCACAAATAATGCTCAGAACAGCACCCATCTTCATCAACAAATAGGGTCCCAGCACTAACCCACTCTCCTCCAGCAGCCGCTTGTTTGTGAGGGAGCCCTGACGAGTCGATCACTGAGTGAGTGGAGACGTAGACCGCTGTGTATTGCTACTTTGCGGTTGTTGCTAAAGTTGGTATAACTAGAGAAGCAAACAGTCAGTGACATTCATCTCTTGAGGGGGTGTCTGGCTCGGTGTTACGGTGTGTTTGACCTTAACTTAATTTTACGCTTGAATATCCCTTTAAGGTTTGAACATGCCACAGTTGCAAACCACCATCATTCATTTACAGTGTATAGCATCATTATCTGTAAATAGATTAGCTTTCTGTTATATGTACTGGAAACTTTCCTGGTGTTTTGACCCCGGAGTATTTTTCTCTTAAAAGAAATTCACCTTTCACTTGTCACACTAACAAACATATCCTTGTCTCTGTTTCCTTTAACCTCTTTATGTCCACACACTTTTTTTCTTTTCAGTTCTTTGCATTCCTGACCACGCTGTGCTATGCAGGAAGCAGCTACCTGAGCTACCGTTCCTGGAAAACTGATGAAGAGGCGCATTAGTCTCATCACTTGATGGTTAAAGACAAAGCACTCCTCAAACTTTGCCTGAAGAAAGTTTCCGGTGGAGATTTACCTTCAGACCAGATCGACTGAAGCTAAAGGCAGGCATGATAATACGTCTGTGATTAAATATCTTTGTTCTATGTTTTTTTTATTTAGCAGACAAAAATTCAGGTAGAGAAGGACATCTGTATTTAACAAGGTTTTATGGACTCTAACTCATCAGCCACGTGAAGAAAATCAAGCACATTACAGACACTGTCAGATCAGTGAATTCTATCTAAATTTGATATTTCTTTAGTATGAGGTTAAAGCTCCTGTGAGGAACTATTCTTGTCCTCTACATTTTTAATCCTGCTGACTTTTGAGAGTCATATGAATGATTTATTACAAATAGTCAAAGTAGACATTGTAAACATGGGATTGTTTCTCCAGTTGCTTGGCCGACACCTACCCCTTTACAATGATTCCAGGCATTAAAAAATGAATTAAAATAAAATAAAATATTTATCTCTTCACTGACGGTCTTGATTACTTTCGTTTATCATAGAAAGGCATCAGTCTGAATTTCATTCTATTCAATGAAAGTCAAAGAATCTCCCCACAGGAGCTTTAATGTGCTTCTAATCGATATAGTTCTCCACACAGTTTTATAGAATCGATCTCCTGCCACATTATCCAGGTATGTTAGTCTGGCTATGACAAGTTTGATTTCAGTGTTATTTCAGAAGGATGAACAAGTTAACATGCATTTAAAAAAGTTTAGTTTCTGTCAAACTATTGCAATAAACTGATTTTTTAAGTGCATGTAAACATACTGACTGATACCTCTATATGAGGCATCATTTAACAAATCTGGTAACTTTACTATGGTGTGTTTTAAAACCCTGTTAGGAGCTGGACTAAATGACTGACAAATGGCCAAAAACCAGCCTTCTTTGAATTTCTACACAGCTAATACTCAAATTGAGTGACGAATTTTATTGTTAAAAGACAACAGGATGAAATTTTTGTCTGAAAACGTTACTTTCACATGTACAGGACATTAGGTAAGAATGTGTGTCCATTGGAGGGGCCGGTTTTAACATGTACCAAAAATTTCTCATCACAGCTTTTTGTAGAAAAATTACGGAAAAAAATAGTCCTAAAAACAGAAAGACAAAAAACAAAAAAAAACAAACAGTACGAAAAACAGAATAAAAATTTCTTTGAGAAGGAGGGGGAAAATATTAGTCCAAAAACCAGAAGAAAAAAAAATAGAATCACAGAATGAAGAAAAAAATTAGTCCTAAAACAGCAAAGGAAAAAAAAAATTACTCAAAAAAGTTTCCTTTTTTATTTGTAAGTAAATGCAATACACTTTCGTAAAAAAAAAAAAAAAAAAGAAAAACAAAGAAAAACATGTTTTCTGAGTGTTGATTTGTATATTACATAATAAAATCTGGGCTTCACAGCAGCATAACAGCATTGCAGGGATCATTCACCCATAAGTAAAGAGATCACTTTGTGAAAACAATTTCATATCACACTTTCTGGTCGGGTTAACATCCATTTCCAGTCATGGGATACCTGTGTAATCTCACCTTTCAGAACTTGGCAATAGACAAGTTAATGGAGAGTATTTACAAATGGCAAATGGCTTTAACATTTTCCTTTCTCTTCATGTAATTAGATTTAATCTTACAATAATTAGGCCTTTGTTTAATTTTCATTTTATAATTATTATTTCAGTGTTGTCATAATTTATTACTTGCCGGCATTACTACTTCCACTGCAACAACTAGAGGAGGAAAATAATTGTAGAAGTAAAGAGTGAAGTAATGGTTTGTGTGAATGTACAAGATTGTTCTTAAGGGCGTCACTGTGTATAAAGTATGCACAGGTTGGATCACTAGTGTGCTCAGGGATAACCATGCTGCAGGACACACCCTTGGCCAAGTTTCAACAACAGCATTCAGTGATTCAGCTGGTCAGAATCCTGGATGTCGTCCATTAACCAAAAAAGATTAACTACTTTTTAAATTCCAGCTCTTTCCTGAAAATGCACAAATACACAAGCTTAGCCTTGATCAAATCTTTGAGTTCATTTTATTCACATAAACAATCTAATAAGGCTTCAACACTAAAGCAATTATCCTTGATTGAAACTGGTTCGCTGCCTTTCTTGCTTTGTCTGGATAATTACTAGAGAGAACAAAGAGTCGGGTAGAATTGCATAAGTAATAAGGTCAGTGGGATAAATGCAAAAACCAGTTGCAGCCATATGTCTCGTCAACTGTATAGAACTAACTTTGTAGCTGTGTGATAACCTCCAGAGCTGAAAGTGCTGGGTAATCACTTTTGGTATCTTGCTTTCTAGTTCTGTGGTGAAAGAGTGTGATGTGATAAATCACTCTTGTTGTCTTACATAATAAACCAAAACATAGCTTGTAATCATTGGGCAAGTTGTTGTCGAGCTGGTTTCAATGAGAAAAACTGACCAATCTTAAGACCTGCAAGAATTTCTTTTTACTGGTCTTTAGGCAGTGGTTACTGAGTTTTACCTCCTTGCTGAAAGAGTCACATCATTGATTCCTGTTCCAGTCATGAATGCATGTGTCACTTCCCTACTGCCCCCATGTTTCCTGTCTTTCTTGAGCTTTTATCCAATAAAATAAAGACCAAAAGCCTAAAACTGCGCTCCAACAGTCCTTATTTTCTAGTTTGAACCTTTCAATACTTTTTACTCTTCTCAAAATTTCCCATGTTTTGACCTGACGTAACAACAAAGAGTTGTTAAAAACCTCCATGAGTAATAAGGTCAGCAGGACAAATGCAAAGCATAATTGCAACCATCTGTCAACTGTTTGTGCAAGACATATAATTAACTCTGTAGCAGTGTGAATAGCTCCATCATTGAGACTGCCAGGGAATCTCCTTTGGCATGTTTCTGTCATGTTTAGAGTGACTGTGAAACTCCTTGTAATTAAAAATAGTACTGTGGCGATAGAGTGAGATACTTTGTTTTATGAGGCATAAAACAAAGTATGATGTAAAGAAGACTGTCGTGGTGATGTGACTGCAAAAACACAAGCTAAGAAGAAATCTTAAAAGACTTGTAGTTGGTTTTCTAGACAACCACAAGAGTTATGAACTACAAATGAATCAATAATCTGACTGGGAACCACCAGGCAGCTGCATGGTCTGCAGTCATGACACACAAACCGCGACACTCTTTGTTAATGACAAAATAAAGCAGCAGGAATGATTTGGAGAAAGGGTTTGATTGCCAATATGTAAATTGTTCAGGATACAAAGCTCAGAGCTGTGCTTTTTATTAAATAAAATATAGAATAATATACAGAGACAAAGTAAAAGTTTAGCTTATTTTTTAAAAAATATTCCCTATGAGTTTGATAAAGTGCAAGAAATCTTTGTTACAAAACTTTCTTACAATGTGCAAAAAGCTTTTAATCAATGTCCCTTCACTGAACATGGTTAAAACATCTCCAGTGTGTTCAATCTAACCAAACTTCCATTAACACCATTTATCATTTTAGGTAGAAATGACCTTGTTCACGTCTGGTCAGATTTGTCACATTCATAATGGAGCCTATATAAAAGGTAGTTGTTTATAGTTCATGATCATTAAACAGTAATAGATAAAGAGTCACTTTTTATGTCATACAGTCGTGCTAACGTCCGTCTGTGTTGATATTCGATACAACCTCTCCCCAGTGCGCTGCCACTGAGGTAATCCCATATCTGTTATAGCGGCCGCTCAGCATTAAGAGTCCTGCCCTCGGGTCTTTTGGGAAGAAGCTAAAGGAGAGCTGTAAAACATGAGCAAAGGTTAACATGAGGTAAATAAATTAGTATAGAGAGATGTAACAAAAAAGAGAAAAGATATATTACCCCCATAGGGTTGCCCGCAGACAGGAAGCGACCGTGTGATGTCACAAAAACCAACTGATAGATGTAGCTGCTATGTTTACCAGAGACCTAAAAGACAACAGTTTGAGCTGATTAACTTAGTAGCCTTACTAATCAAAAGTAACCTTTTGATTAGTCCTGGAAATGTAAACATGTGATGTGTATCATACATAATCAGTGAAATCTCTGACCTGAACAATGGTCTCATCTTCATATAACTCCATTTCTTGTAAAGTGCCTGGTGAATTTCCAAATTTGTCAGGACAAATGTAGTCGTAGCACAGCTGCAAACTGTTGGCAAAGGCACAAAAAAGGTGAGATACAAAAGGTGAGCACCAGCCAAACTAAGCAGAGAAAGCTCTGAAACATCTGACGCAGTAAGAAACTGGAAAAAAAGAAAAAAAAAAAACCACTATGGTGCAGGTAGTTGAACCTTTTACCCAGAAACTCAAGGCTGTCTCCAGCTTCACCAAAACTTCATAGGGACTTTTTAGTTTGGGAACAAAACAGCACAACCCTTTTACTACCGCCGGCGAGCACGAAAATGTCACCGCGCCAGCCGATTCTGTCGACACCTCCCCCTACTGTGCCACTCTGCCCAGCATAGTGGACCTCGTGCACCTCAATCTACGAAAATACCGAACTGGCCCTGCGCGGGGTGCGCCAACCTTCACAGTGCCACTGGCGTGCAAGAAAATAGAGCCCATTGACGACAGACAAAATTCAGATCACCAAAACCCTGTCCTGTTTACAGAAAATCAAGATTTACTAGTTTAACACCCTCTTCCCTTCATTAAATCCCGCTGTTCCTTAAAAAATCAATCTTGACAAGTAAGAAGAGAGACTAACCTCCCAATGAATGATCTGGATATCTCCCACACCCTGATGGCTGTGATCCTTCCTTTTCCCTCAGTGGCGAATGCTGTGCCGCTGCCAATTCCAACAGCAACAGAGTAAGACGGGCTTATCGAAGTGGCTGTAGAGGTTAAGAAACAGTTGTTGTATTAAGTCAGAGAAAATGAGCTCAAGAAGAGATTCATGTACAAATAGGCAACATTTCATATTTGATCTCAATGAGTATCATGTCAGCGGTAAGGGGTGAGGGTTAACTTCTTACGGGCAGCTAGGCAGGTGCTGAACAGCATGGTGAAGAGCAGGACAAAAATCATTCTGGTGTCTGAAGCCATTTAAAGGCAGCACTGGGAACAGATACCAAATCATAAACATCACTGTCAGTATCATAACTTCATTTACAGCTTTCAGCATTTTTTTTTTTTACATAAAACATTTGTTAGAAATAGAAACTCAAAAATCTTTACATAAACTAAATCAGCACACATAATCATTATCATGTAATTTGAAGGAAACATGCCTCTACCTACAGGAAGATACTGATAAAAGATGAAAAAAAACATGAAGACTTGGGCTTTAAAACTCACCTGCATCTGTGATCTCCTGAACACTGCTTGACTTTTGAGCTGACACTGAAATTACATCGGGTCATTGGCATTTATATGAAATTTCTCCCGCCCTCGGCTCGCACACCTGAAGGCGCACAGACGAACACACACTCATAAACACACCCTAACCCTGCCTTCCTACCTGACGACCTCTGACAGCTGAATAAAAGCACACCTGTTTTAATTTTGGTACAAGACGTATGTTTTCTTAAGATACTGAACCAGCTTGACAAAACCATTTTGAAGTTTGTCAGTGAGACTTTTTCAGGTAACAATCATATTCACTGGATTTTTGGTGGAAATACTGAAGCTGGGCTGTCATTTCTACCAAACAGGAATTACTCCCTATTCATTCAAACTTCTGTTAATTTCTTAATGTCAGCTGATTTCCTCATAAACATGTGTGTACTGTAAAGGTCACTGTAAAGTCTGACCACCGCACCATTTATCTTGCTCGACAAGAAGTATTTTCCCACTTATGAGATTTTTAGGTAACGCTTTATATTAAGGTCCTTGTAATAAGCATTAGTTAATAGGTAATAAGGCCTTTATAAGTGCGTACAAGATGCTTATTAACATTATTATTTGTTTATAAGACTATATATCTATTAATAGTCTCATTATAATACAGTTATTAGCAGACTTTAAGAGATTTATAATAACTTATAAGAAACTTGTTAACTGTTTGTTGATGCTTACAAACATTAATAAAATCCTCATGAGTATCTTATAACTGTTTATTATAACACTATAAACACATATATTGACTCAACTAGCCCAACCATGATGACTTTATCATGCCTTTATTAATCTTTTTGTTTGATTTATTAACATTAATATACACTTTATTGCTCATCTACTGTAAGTTAACTATGCACTTGTTTACAGTTAACTGTGCTTTTTGCAGGTACTGGATCTAAAGCGAGAACAATGTCTTATTAAGGCTGAGAAATCTTTTATTGAGCTTATTATGCCTTTAAGAATATTGTTTTCCTGCTTTATCAAAATCTAGATCTAAAGCGAGAACAATGCCTTATTAAGTCTCATAAATCTTCTATTATACATTTATTTATGGCTAATGATTTTCACAACTTCCAGATCTGGAACGAACAATACATGTGGTAAAGGTTGACATGATGGAAAGAAAAAATTTGCTCAACACAACAGATGTTTTAACAGTAAAGCCCAAAAAGGTTTTATTTATTGCTTTGGCTTTCAAAGACACATTTTCCTAATTTAATTAATTTAATTATTTAATTAGGAATTTAATTAGCTTTCGATTTCATAAGTTTTTCTGGTTGAACTACCTTCAAAAATAAGTTTTCTGATTTTGTTTAGCAGTGTCATCTTGGTAAAGTCACTTCTTTTTTTTTCTCCTCTTCCGTTGCTTTTCGCGGGTCGCGTCTTTTTTCGCTTCTTTTCAGCCTACATCCGTAGCTGTTCTTGCCTTTGTGCGCTTCTCACACGCTTTTATTTTGAAAGAGCAGTGTAAAACCGATACTTCCGGTTTAAGCTAGCGGCTCAGCCACACGATCAATGTGAACGTCGTTTTGGTGCCGCGTGCAAAATGAAGGGAACAACATCTTCGGCCCCGCGGATAATACAAACCCGCTCTGGATCTCGAAAAGATGTGATATGGAGGATGACTCCTCTGGTAAGTTTAACTGCAGCTAACGAGTTAGTGCACATTCAAACACGCAGCTAGCTACATAGCTAGCTAGCCAAAGCTAGTAAGTAATTTTACGGAGCATTACTGTTGCAGCCTGACAGGGGTGCAGCAGCAGTCTTGAGCTGGTCACTCCTCTGTGTATTAGTGAGGGATAAAGTGCCTGTCCAGTTGAAAATAATTAAACTCATATAAACAACCTATTTTCCTATTTGGTTACATTAAAACTCTGTTACGATTTTTATTATCAACAATAATACCAGGCCAGTTTTAGACAGCAAAATGCAGGGCTCTCAAGTCTCACGCAATCGGCGTGAGACACACGCATTCCCACCCGTTCACACGCTCACACGCCACACATTGTATTTCTCACGCATTTAATGAACATGGTGATGTCCACCAAGTTGCACCTCTTTAACTATGGAACAGGTAGGAATCAACTGAGTTTCTCCGAGAGTTCAGAAGCTGCGTGCCACGCGCAAGCCAATCAAATAAAGTATATCTACTGAACAGCCAATCAAAAAGCAGCATTGCTGTATCCGGGTAGATTTTGATATCTTGCGGTTTGACTACAGAAGAAGACAGACACTCGCCGTAATAGAGCAGGTTTTTATAAGGACGAGATAGATCCGATGATTACAGTAAGTCAGTAACCTACACATGCAGCGATCTCAACACCTCATGGCAGATAAACTCAAATGATAAACTAAAGCCCTATGCTATTGCTATTAACAGCTGTATTGACGGATTTAGTCTCTGTACAGCCATTTCCAGCCATTTCCTCCTCCGCAAAAGCAGCATTTCTCATATATCTCAAATATAAGTTCTGATACTCATGACAGTGTAATGCTCATGTACCAAAGGATTAAGTATCTCCATATTTGTGACACCTATACTAAAGCACAATTCATCTTAATGTTCCACAGTGCTGATTTTAACAACTCTCCTTCACAACAGGTAACTTTACTACTTAATACTGATATTAATGACTTTACTCTCCCAAATAATAACTTTATTCTTTGAGATTAAAAAGCGCATTTTTTCTAATTGTGCCCCTTATACTCCGTTGTATTTAAGAGATAATTATACTTATAATTACCCCCCCAGGTACTGTGATTAAAGCAGAAATGGTTACTGTGTTGGTAGATTAAATCACATTGGGCGGAATTAAACAGAATATGGACTAGAAACCCTGAGGTCAAAATGGGAAGCATCTCCCAAGGTGATGGAGAATGAACGAGCATAGATCCTGTAGGACTTCCAGATACAGACCGACAAAATGGCAATGGCCAATCAACCGGACATTGTAACCATAGACAAACAGCAGAATAAAGCTGTTATGGTGGATGTTTCCATCCCAAGCGATACCAACATCAGAAAGAAAGAACATGAGAAATTAGAGAAATACCAAGAGCTCAAAGAGGCGCTAGAGAATGCCTGGAAGGTGAAGGCAACAGTGGTGCGTGTGGTCATCGGGGCACTCGGGGCAGTAACTCCAACACTGGAGAAGTGGCTCCAACAGATCCCTGGGGAAACATCAGACATCTCACTCCAGAAGAGTGCAGTCCTAAGAACAGAAAGGATACATAAATATATACATGACAATTAAATTTCCCTTCGGGGATCAATAAAGTTCTCTTTCAAGTTATCCTTACTTCTTAATTCTCAATAGTATGGTCCTTACCCTCATATTTCTGATATAAGAGGTTTTGTGCTGAGAACAAAATGATCTCAAAACAAAGGCATATTTAAAAGAAAAAACTGTTTTTTAATTTCTTTAAGTATTTTTTTCTTTTTTTCACTTTAAAGTTGAGCTTAAATTAAGTTTATTTAACTAAACCTTAAAAAAAGTTGAATGTTTGCAGCCTCATCTGTCAGTAATGAGAAGGTTGAAAATGTCCCACTGACTGTTGCAGACGCACTTGAACAGGTGATATTCACTTTAACACAAGCATGCAGGACATGAGAGGAATTTTCCACAGCAGTCTTTGAACTCGTCCTACTGGAATAACCTTTCTCATACATGAACATCGAACGAAGTCCTGCCCAATATACTGTATGAGTACCAAAGGGAAACCATATTTCAAATTAAGGTTCAAGAAGGTTCGAGTACAACTCTAGGAAGTAGTTTTAAGTATAAAACAGGCATGCCTATTTCTAGCTGAATACTTACCCTCTCATGCAGACACTGAAGGCTGCCAATTGAATCTTTGTTAAACATTAGTGACATAGAAGTGGTGGCATTTTGCCAACTTCAAGACAAAAACTGTCTGTGACGGTGCAAGATACATGACAATGAAGGAGTAATGAATGAATGAGTGGAAGTGGAAGGTGATGATAATTCACATTACTGGTCAATATGATTTTTCTGCAGGTCATATCACTAGTATCTGGTTCCGCTTTACTCTTGAATGATCTGAACTTAGGAGTCCATGACGTCTGAATCTGAATGTTTAAGGTCAGCATCAGTTAACCATCATGAGGCTCACAGACTGTGTTATTTGGACACGTGGTTATATTTTTTTAAGGGGGTTCATATAATGTTTCTACAAAAGCACAAGGTCTACAGAAATCCATGATGTATACTGTGATTTAAAGCAGAAGTTAAAACTGGGCTTCAGTCTAGAAAACCATTTCTGCGGTGCAGCAGTCTGGTTTTGAATCTTTGAGTTTTGTATTTTTGGCTCTTGAAGCACAACGTCATAGTAATTAAGCAAGGCTCCTGCATGGCACCAGGTGACACCTGTGTCTTTTAATAAATGAAAAATATTAATCAAGATCTGAGGATGAGAGTTGTTGACTAATAGAATAAGGAAAATGACCAAAAAATGGAAAAGTTTGTTTGTTTTAAAGTCTCAAAGTCAGGAGGGTGTGAAATGACTGTTCTAGTTCATGGCCTGGCAGCTATATTTTTTTACAATCCAAAAGAAGCCTAATCAAAAGCAAAGGAATGTAATCGTCTTTATTTTGGCTTTGAAAAATGACAGTATGATTTAAAAGTTTGAGATTTAACCAAGATATAAAACATTTGATCATTTTCTGA